CTTTATAATAATAATAATAATAATAATTATAATAATAATAATAATAATAATAATGGGAAAAAAAAAGGTAATAATAATAATAATAATGGGTTGGGTCCTTTGTTTCCCGGGGGAATTTTCCCCGTTTTTTTTTTTTTTTTTTTTTTTTTTTTTTTTTGTCGAATACCTTGAAATAAATTGTATTAAAAAAAAAAAATAAATAAAAATTGATTTTTTTTTTTTTTACTAATGACACGATTGTTTTTAAAAAAATTTTTCACGGGTTTCTTTTTTTTTTTTTTTCAAGGTTGGCTTTTTTTTTTTATTTTTTTTTTTTAATCCGTTAAATACAAAAATTAAAATTTGATCGATATAAAAAATATCGATAATCGATAGAAAGATTTTTTCATTAAAAAAAAATATTATTTTCAAATTATTAATAATAATAATAATAATAATAAAAGCCATAAATCGATAAAAATTAATCGTTTTTTTTTTTTTTTTTTTTGTAATTAATAACATAAATCAATGTGTGATGGAATAATAAACAAACAACATACAAACATACAAACGAAATAATAATAATAATAATATTTACCAATCGTATTAAAAAATTGAATTTCTTTTCTTTTCTTTCTTCTTTTTTTTTATGCACAACAACAATAATAATAATAATTAAAATTTTTTACGTTAATTTTAATTAGTGAATTCATTTTGACATATGATGATGAATTATAAACACATAAGACAATTAATTAATTAATTAATCCGCACGGTTTTTTTTTCTTTTCTTACTTTTTAAATTATATATATTTAATTAAAATAAATCACGAACACGCACGCACAAACACTTTATTACAAAAACAGAAAAAATTAAGGTAAAGATAAAAATTATAACCTTTACACGAACCGACAATACGACATCAACTGACTACGAAAAACCGCCAACAAAAATGGCGTCTGCGCATAAAAACCCGCGTAATTGACACGTGCAAATTTGGGAGTGCCATCTAAGGAAAAAAAAAAAAAAAATTTTTTTCTTTTCTTTTCTTTATTTTCCTTATTTTTCTTTCTTCATTTCATTTCAAATAAATAAAACAAAATCAAAATTTCGATATTTTAATTAAATAATTTTAAATAACAAACAAATAACAATAAAATAAAGGAAAATAAACAACAACAACAACAAATATTATTAAACATTTATTATTACTATTCTTTATTTATTTATTTATTTCTCTTTACATTATTTATTTATTTATTTATTTCATTTCAAAGAGTACATAATTAATCAAATATATATTATTTAATTTGAGAAACTTTTGTTTAAAAAAAAAAAAAAAAAAAACTACATTTTTTTCTCATAACGATGATGATGATGATAATAATATTAATAATCACGATTTATTTTAAGCTAAACAATTTTATTATTTCATTTATATGTATTCGCATGATAAATATATCCAAAAATAATAATAATTGATAATTATAAATAATAATAATAATGATAAGTTTTAACAACTACGATACGAATCTATTAATTAAATATTTTCGTATAAAAACAAAAAAAAATGGATAAAGAGCAAAAAAAAATTCAGTAGCTCTTTTGATTTTCAACTTATGAGAATATCTACAAGTTTGTAAATAAAGAGATTTTTTTTTAAAATTATTTGATTCAGAGAAAAGAGGCAAAAAAAAAAAAAAAAAAAAAAAAAACAAAAAGCCAGGCGGCAAACAACGATAAAAAGTAAATCGATTGTTTATGATAATTAACAACGTGTTTCGTATAAACCGGATCGTCCGATATATCGAACCCATTTGATGACGTCGTGATCGGAATAATTCAATTTGGGTTCGAAAACTTTTAGGTATCGAACTTTGAAACCGGAGGGTGCAAATGGCACCTCGAAATTCATCGATATCGGTGGTCTCGTCCATTTTTTCTTAGTGTCCGTTTCCAAAAGTTCTATTTCGGCTGATAATTGAGTTTCTTTCATTCCAGCAATCCTTTTGATTCTGTAATAATAATATAAAATTCATTGGATGTTTTTTTTTTTTTTGGAGAAGGAGAGAGGGAGAGGGGAAGGGAGAAAGGGTTTAAAACTAATAACACTCACTTCCAAACGATGGCATTTTCCGAAGCTTTATATTTGGCTTTCCCTTTCAAACAAATCAATTGAACTCCGGATGTGTTTAACGGAGTCGGAATTTTAACTTCAATTTTTTGACCCAAAAGAGATGGCTTGAAATTTGATTTTAAAACGACTTTAACTTCCATTTTTGTTCTTCCGACTTCTCTCACCAATGGAATCACACGAAACGGAAGTGAAATGTCTTTGGTTGTTCTATATCTGCAAAAAATATTTTTTTTTTTTTACTAGAACTTTATGCAAAAAAAAAATAATAAAAATTAATTTATTATTATTATTATTATTATTATTATTATTTACCTCATGAGTTCAAATTCGCCATCAGGTGGAATAAAGCTGATGGAATGTTCAGTTTCAAATTTTGATAATTTAACGCATTGATGAAATTGACAGTCGTCAATGACGACCACGGGTTTTCCAGATCTTGTTGCTTCTTCCGAATTTCCTCCGACGCTTTTCCCCTTTGCTTCCATGACTATTTTATCATTTATACCAAATTTGCATTCCGGCATTCCAGACAAATAAGACTTCATGACAACTTTACCTGCGACATGTGCTGATAAAACTTGTCCTGAAAAAATATAAAATTTCTTTGTACCTTATTTTTAATTTTTAATTCATATCCTTAAGGATTTTTTCTATTTTCTTACCCTGAGGACTCATAAGCAAGTTGACATATTCCAAAACATCCAAAAATAATTCATTTCTGCGATATTTTATTCCCTCTCTTCTCCATCCGATTTGACCAGTAACCTGAGATGTGATCTGAGCTTGTTCTTCTTTTGTTTGAGATTTAATACCAGTTTGAGTAATGAATGTTTTTAAAACGCCAGTGTCCGAGTTTTGAGGATAACCAAAATCTAATATTTCTATTAAAAAAGAAAAATATATATCATCTGTATAAAATATCAGACAATTTTAAAAAATTGATTAAAAAAATTTATGTACCATCTAACAGTTCATAAATCAATACAAAATTATTTTTAATATTTTCTTCTGAAATTTTTCCAAAATAAGATTGCATCAAATCGATTATCTTCAATAGAAATTCAAATACCAAAGCTGCATTCACATTTTGTTTGGTCACTGCAGCAAGCCAAATGTTAGCTCTCTGAAATAAATCATATCATGCATTAAAAATGTTGATAATGTTTCAGACTAAAAACTAAAAAAGGAGATTTTTAATTTAAATACCTTTATGTGAAAGAAAGAAGTTCTGGCAATGTTTGTAACTGGACTTCTTACTTGTTGTCTGGCATGTATCACATTCACTCGAAAAGCATCGACAGCATTTCTTCCAATGTCATCCCTATACACTCGAGAAATGAGAACTTCTCCCTTGTGATTATACACAAACAATCCTCCGATCATGATTATACTTACTCAGCCTAAAATAAAATTTATTGATTCTATGAAATTTAAATATAATTTATATATTTTTATATTTGAAACAGTAAAATTATTTATTCTATCATTTCTGTAATTTTCATAGATTTTTAAAAACTTTACTTTGTGTTATTTAATAAATAGTTTATGAGAAAAAAAATATAATAATTTTTTTGATTGATTAAAACGGATATGACTAAATTCTAAAGAGGAGGGGCACGCTTATCAATTTATGAATTTCGAAGAAAAAAAACCACTCAATTTAATAAAATTAAATCTTAAGATTTTTTAAAATAAAAAAAATTCATTATTTTACAAGTTCGATTTAAAAAAAATTAATTTTAAATAATGAATTTAATGTCAAAAAAAAAATCATGGCTGAAGTAGTAAGCTATCCTTAGCGGCGCATGAAAAGAACTTGCAAAAAATAGAAAAAAAACATTTAAGCATTACTAAATTTAGAAAATAAAAAACTTACTTATAAAAGCGATAAGTATAATAAAAATAATCTAATGAAAAAATTTAATTTATGATCCTTACGCCCCCATAATTGAAATTTACAAGGAAACAAATGTAGAACTCGACTTCACTGACAGGTCAGCCAGTGTCATAGAGGTTGCTTCAAATTAAGTACCGAAGTAACGTGTATTTTGAAAGTTTAGATTTATCTGTTTCCACTTTCGTGCAACGTTAAATGGTTAACGTGTAAACAAAGTCAATTATAAAATAATGTAAGGAAAAAGTCAAACTTTTATTTAGTATACAACATGAATTCGTCTATAATCGTTCCAATCACTTTGTGGAGTGGCTCGGGACCTAGTTTTCGTGTGTCGTCCATTAGCGTATCTCCTAATTTAAAAAATTTAATTACTGGTAGCTGGACAGGACAACTTTGTTTGTGGAACTTGAATGTTGCAAAGAAAAAAATTTACCCTAAAAATATTTTGATTGGACACGAAAATTCCGTTTCATGTATGGTAAGCACAAATGAATTTGTAATTAGCTGTTCTGAAAGTGGAGAAATGTGCAGATGGCATTTAGAGGATGGTTTCTGTGAAATTGCAAAAAACTCATTACACATTCATAAAAACATACAGCTATATAAAGCAAATAAAAATACTGATGATTTAGTTTTTACCTGTGGTGATTATTCTGAAATTTTTATATATCAGTCGTTTACGCTACAAAAAATTAGTTGTTTATTTAGCGAATCCAATGGTTGTTGGATAACTAACTTTCACGTTATATCATCTGAGAATAAAGAAAATATGATAGTTGCAGGTATCACAGCAAAAGGCTGCCTTAAATTATGGACAGTAGATGATAGCATAAATAAATTACATCAAGAAATTCAATCAAACAATTTGCCTATTGAAAATGTTATCGATTTAAAATATAATTTTAATAGAAAAAACTTATTAATTGTCACTATTAAATATTGGTGTATATTCGATTCTGAATATTTTAATTGTTTGTATAAAATTAATAATATTGTTGATAATGAAAAACTTTTAGGTGGAAATTATTGTAATTCTAACATTGTTATTTGGACTGATTGTGGAAAATTTTACATATATTCTGAAAATAATAATACTCGACCTCATTTAAAAACAGTATTTTTAGATGATTTTTATTTAAAAACATTGTTTAATCCTGCCATGACTGTTTTGGAAAATAAAAACAGAGAAATATACTTTTTTAGGGGTGATTCATATGGACAAATAAACATTTGGACTTACTCCAGTTTTGACAATGTATCAAATTTTTCTTCTGTTAAACCTGTGTTGTCGACTGCACTTAGCGATAATTGGAGTACCGTCAAAAAGGGCTTTTTTGATAACATTGCAAGTTGCAGTAGTATAACTTGTTCCATTTACATTTTAGAATTAGATAAATTTTTTTTAGGCTGCTTAGAAGGTAATATATTAATTTTGCCTGCTGTGCAATCAATGATGTCCTACAGTTTTTATTCTTTTGATAAACCATCCTATAACATATTGTCAGGTCATAAAGGTAAAGTTAATTGTTTGATTCATCCTCATTCTAAATATTCTCATTACGATAAAGCTCACGTTGTTAGCGGAAGCTCTGATTTTTCCGTTTGTTTGTGGGATGTTTTCAAATTGGAACTCCTTCACAGATTTTGCGTACAAAGCGGAGAAATTTTGAGGTTGATCATACCGCCCGTAACGTGCAGTCCTAAAATAAAACAAAGCATTTGCAGTATTTCATCAGATCATTCTGTGGCAATTTTAAATCTGACTGACAAAAGATGCGTTATTTTAACGTCGAGCCACATGTTTCCCGTTGTTACGATTAACTGGAAGCCGTTGGACGGGTTTCTAATCGTCGAATGTTTCGATGGTACGGTTTTCGTGTGGGAAACGGAAACTGGTATTTTGGACAGGGTTTTAAATGGCGTCATCGCTCAAGAAGTCATTTTTGCTTGCAACGAAAAAAACATTTGTAACCCTCCCGCCGCTCTTTTTAATTTTTACACCGACGATGGAGGAGTGAAAAGAAAAAATTCCTTACGCAGGGATTTTTACGAAATAACCGGTGACAACGTTGAAACGTCCTCCACATGCCTATTTAAAATGAACGGTTTTTTAACGAGTAAAAAATCCGAGAGTCACGTTTTCCTATGCAATATCGATAATTTATTTACGAAAATAATTTCCGATCAAAATACTCATAATGAGCGACGCGTCGAAAATTGTTGCGACGACGACGACGCAAAATTATATTTATTAACACAAATGCTGAATCCGGATTCGACGAAAAATAATGCGAGTAAACCATTGGAAAATATTAAATCCGACGACGCTTTGATTCTCAATCAAAACGGATCAAAATCATTTGATAATAATAATAAAATGATGTCCGTAATAAAATACGACGGGGAAACCGGAAATGATGAAAACGATTGTTTGCTCTCGTTGAATTCAATGTTTAAAATTCTTCGATTCGTTTTGTCTTCTTTTCACGTTTGGGATCTCGATCCGTCCATCGATAATTTTTTAATAAATTATTTAGGTCTCATTAAACCCAATAGATTTTTAATACCTGGAATATCATCATCGTTTCCAGGAAAATACAGTTTATTCCTATCGAATTGCAAAAGTGTTTATCAACTGAGTTCCAGCGTGTTAGCCACGACTTGTTTGATAATGACCGCATTATCGAGCTTGTTGAAATCGATTTCTCTCGTTAAAATATCGAACGGTCAAGAGGGAGACAAAGAAGAAAACGATGATGACACGTGGGAAAAATTGTACGAATTTTACGAACACGTGTGCATGAATGTCGATAACGGTTACAACGTGACGAAACCCAGGATCGACGTATTGGTTAGGGGTTGGTGCAGCAGTAGTTATCACATACGTAAAGTTTCTAGAAAATTATTACCCATTTATTTGAGTTCTTTGCTTCAGAAAGAAGATCACGTGGATTTGTTAAAATTTTGGTTTAAATATTTACCGCATTTTAAATTTTCATCCAAAACAAAAATTCCGGACAAAGATGATTTGGACGACGTGAATCATTCGATCGTTGCACTCATACTTTTCGGTTCCGTAGGATCGGATTTAAAATTTAAATCAAATTTTTTATTATCGTGTCAGGAAAATTACGTTTATCAAACGTGTGCATCGTTCGTGTATTTGCTCCTGATGTCGAACAACGATAGACAATGTTTTAACGAATTGCGTGATATCGCCATAGATTTCATCGGACGCGGATACATATTGTGGGAGCAATTTTTAAAAATGGAAAAAATTTTACCCGTTTTTTTCGAAATATGCACGAACATGTTGAAAAACAGTTACGAATTTAACAACAGACCGTTTGGAATTTGTCTCACGGCACACGACGCACTCAAAGCCATAGCTCTCGCAAGAACGTCGGCTTTCATAAAATGTCTCACGACGGAAATGACTCGAATGAAACCTTCGAGCGGAAATAAAAATGGCGGCGGCGGCGGCGGCGACGATAATTTCGCAATAGAAAATTCAAAAGCGGAAATTTTATCCGTAATTGTTTTCCTATTGGAAAAAACTCCCTACATAATGTTGCTTTATTTAAACGAAGTCATTTCGATATTCGTTTACTGCATCGATTTGAGTCATTTCAAACGGGAAAACCTGAGCGACATGATACCGATTATGAAAAAATTTCGTCAGGTACATCATTGTTTGAACGGACAAAAAATAGCCGTCGGATTGAGTACGGGTTCGATAGTCATACACGATTTAAAATCGAAAAAAATCCTTTCCGCGACGGCACACAAAGACTCGATAAGCGCGATAAAATTTTCCGACGATGGAAAACACGTGGCATCGTATAGCTTTTACGAAAATCGTTTGACGCTCTGGCAAGTTTTGACGGGCATTTTCGGTTTGGGACAAATACAAATAAAAATGTTGAAAAGTTTCGAAACTTACCGAATACACGACGAAGAAATAAAAAATCATTTTGAAATAGCACAATTGATTTGGATCGATAATAAATCGATATCATTGAGTCTTTGCGACGGAACGGAAACGATTTTTCACATGTGATTGATTGATTTCCTTTTTTTTTTTTTTGTAAGATTTGAACCACCGCCATTTTTGTTGTTTTTCTCTCTCATTTTTTTCCTTATTTATACGTATCTGAGGTTTTTTCCCAAATAAATAATTCGAATGGTTGTTTGTCCTATGAGTCAAAGGTTGGGATGGGGTTTTCCGGTGATGATGTTGTCACGATCGTACCTTAAAAAAAATTAATAATAATGTTAATAATATGAGTTATGTAATGTTTTTCGAAATGTATTATTATTATTATTATTATTTTTTATAAACGTTTTGTTAATTATATATTTTTTTAACTATTTAAAATGTTGTTTAATTTATATCGATTATGTTTATGTGTAAAAATATTTATTATTAATTGATGTTATTAAAAATTTTATTGATTATATATATATATAGTAAAAAAAATAATATTTATTATTGATTATTTAAAAATAAAAAATAAATAAATAATTGACTTACGATTATTAATAATTTTTTTTATTTCGAACGGATGATTGATTGATTCCTTTCTCGTATTTATTATATTAAATTATTTATCTAAGGGATGATGAATTTTCCGGAAATGGAGTTTCTGGAAAGAAAAACAAACAGAAAAAAATTAGAGAGAGATGTTTGTATAAATGTTGAAATAGTGAAGAAGAATGAGGTGATGTGAAAAGAGGAAGATGATGATGATGATGATGATGATGATGGTGAGGATGATGATGATTATGATGGTGGTGGTGGTGGTAGTGGTGATGATGATGATGATGGTGGTGGTGGTGGTGATGATGATGATGGTGAGGATGATGATGATTATGATGGTGGTGGTAGTGGTGATGATGATGATGATGGTGGT